AGGACACTAAAGATTTTGGAATGGCTGTCACCTACGGCATCAACGATTCTGTGGTGGCTGATAGTGCTGTGGTGATGGTTGGTATTGTTCCTGTAGTGGTTGATATTGTTCCTGCCGTATCTGGTATTGATGTTGTAGTGGTTGGTACTGCTGTGGTGGTGGTTGGTATGGTTCCTTTGGTGGCTGGTATGGTTCCTGTGGTGGTTGGTATGGTTCTTGTGGTGACTGGTATGGTTCCTGTGGTGACTGGTATGGATCCTGTGGTGGTTGGTATTGTTCCTGTGGTGACTGGTATGGATTCTTCTGTGGTTGGTACTGCTGTGGTGACTGGTATGGATCCTCTTGTGGTTGGTATGGATCCTCTTGTGGTTGGTATTGTTCCTGTTGTGGTTGCTGGTGGTATCTTGGTGATGGGGAGGGTGGCTGTTGCTGGACCTGGGGCTCGTGCTGCTGATGGTGGGATGAGGGAGTTGCTGATTGTACAGCACAGACCTTGTTTGTAGTGATCAGCATGGTCACCAAGTTCGTTAATTGCTCAACTTGTTGGACCAAGCTGACCTCTTCCTTGCTTGGGGCCTGCGATTGTACAGCCAGTTGGGCATGGTGACGAACCTCATCCAGGGTCAGTGGCTCCTTCATATACACCCACTGCTTAATCTGTGGGAGTAGCCCATTGATTGCAATGGCTACTATCACAGATTGTGGTAAGCAGGAGTGTAACGCGGATGCTTGGACCCTGGTGATGAAGTCTCCAAAGTCCTCCTGTTCCTTCTGTGTCATATCAAGAAGACTAAAATTGAAGGCTGATGAACTTCGAAATCGTTGCTGAAAGGCTACTTTCAGCAAGTGGATGTCCAGCTGTGTGTGCGCAGGCAGGTCCCTGAACCATACTTTAGCAGCTCCGTCCAGGTAGAAGGGCAGAATTCTACAGGATTGGGTGTCTGTGTGACCATGGAGGAAGTTGAAATTGTAGAAATCTGCCCACCAACTTTCAGCATCCTTCTGACCTGTGTATTTGGGGAGATGTATCTGTGCCATTACTGGGGGTTGTTGCTGGGTAAGATGAGACTGACTGTGTTGTTGCTTCTGTAGGGGACGATGGTGTTAGCAGGCATAGTGTGGTGTCAAGCCATGGAGGTGGTGGTGGTAGTGTGGAGTCAGGTACAGGTAATGTCACAGTCTCAACTTGTAGTTCACAAGGCTGGCTCCAGGCACCGAGGATCGAACGTCTCCACCAATTAAGACAGCCCTGTTGGGGTGATCCCAATAACTGTCAGGCCTCGATTTGGGGAATTAGCTATTGAGAGCTAGCCTTGAAACAAGAGAGAAGAGAGCTGTGAGGTCCTTAGGGTTTATTCAAGCAAGTGTGCTGAGGACCAACGCCCAAGGAGTTATATACCCCCACAGCTCTACTCTTATCACATGAACAATTACTTTGAAGTTGTAATTTCGGTCTCTGTTATCTGCGCTAGGCTGTCCAAGTTGACTACACAAAAGCAGGTGGTAATAGAATAGTATCAGTATTGCCTAACAAGAGTTTATTTTAATTACGGTTTTAGATGATGGTCAAAACGTGCGCCAGCTGGTAACAAAACATTATTAATAGAACAAGGGCCGGGGCGGACGAACGCGCCGACTTTATCTATGATTACGTAATTTACTGTTGGCGTGAATGAGCTTGCCAAGGAGCGGCCGTCATGGTCGACCAGTGGCGATAAAAACGAGAAATACTGGTCTAGCGACTTTCGAATTTTAGAATTTCCCAGTTTAAGTTTAATTTGTTAAAAATATAAAAAGTGTAATGAAATATATGCACTGTAACAAAAGCTTCCGGATTATCCAGAGTGCCATATGGTCCTTCCAGTTTCCTCACGATTGTCAAATGTAGCCCTCTCACCTAGTGAAAGAAGAACACCTATTCACTTTGTTGGGGACTTCCTCTCTCTGGGACAGAATAGCAGTTGGGTAGGAATTATCTCGAATAAGGCAACTCCCATTTCTAAGTTTCAAAGGATGGCTCCATTTTCGGTACAGGGGTTAGCTTACCATAAAGAAGGCAGATAGAAAAGGAAACATTCCTGTAAAAGATATCTGAGGCATCAAATTTAAATGATTTCAAGACGAGTGAGGAAAAACGTCTCTCCTCCAATGTACCACCACAGGTATGTGCACGACATACTACTGGTAAGACAACAAGGAGTGGGATTGAGAAAAGAAGCATACGTAAAAGGAAACAGCGTGAAGCAGAGATAAGCCGTGGAATATTATGTCATTTTCAATTCATTCCATATTATGGAGTTCCTTTGTTGTGTTCATATTTTATACAAGAACCTGAACTGAAAGTCTAGAAGATTTACATCTTTAGAACACGTTCTTTATTGAGTAAACACTTCTTTCTAGGAGATTTCTCTGTCAAACATTGCCTGCCATTCATAACAAACCGAGATTACAGATGTAATAAGTTGTTCATAATACCATTTGGTCCTTCTGTTGGTTTCAACCATTCGTCCAGGTGTTTTTTTATAAAACGAATCGTAGACTACAGCGTCCTTCAAAGACTGGTATGCCAAGAAATAATCGGGCATGACCATTAATGGGGTTTTTTTTATCCGTGAGCTCTCAAAGGGTATGAAACTTCATTCGTTACATATATCTTTTATTGTGTAAATGCCTCTTTGGGCCTAATTTCTAATAATTAATGTTGAGTTTTTACATTGTGACTTAGCCACAGGTCTTGGGGTGTGAGTGAGTGAGTATGGCTTTTAGTAATATTCCAGCAATATCACGGCGGGCAAAGGTCTTGGGATAAGATTTAATCATTAATGTCAGAGTTTGACTCATACTTTCTCCAGAATGTTCCCAATAACTACAAAGTATTTTTCTTATCAACCTTTCTCTATTTTGTCTATTTGTCGATATTAGCGCCTTGTCTACCGACATGAGTGCAGCGTTATATAACAAACAAACAAACAAACAAACAACATCTCTTTTTGTCTTTGAAAGAAGGATTTTAGTATTGGGTTTAGTACATGTCTTCTTTGACTTGATAATTTTAAGGAGTCCTTATTTTTTGTATTTGGTTAGATATCTTTATTTTATCTATTTTGTGATTCCAAATGAATTTATAATAATTCTGGGTGGTGGGGTAGCCTAGTGGTGAAAGTGTCCGCTCATCACGCCAAAGATCCGGGTTCAATTCCCCACATGGGCACAATGTGTGAAGCCCATTGCACGGTATCCCCCGCCGTGAAATTGCTGGAATATTGCTGAAAAAGCGGCGTAAAACCATACTTACTCACTATAATACATTCTGTTAAGTTTTGGAATAAAGTCAGTCGAAGGGCTGGGACGGGAAATTAGTTTGTGAAAAAGAAAAACAGAGCCAGTATTTTAATAACTGTATTTTTTCCCACGATTGTTAAATTCCTCTTTCTTCAACTAGATAATATTCTATTAATATGTTCAATCCTTTTTCTCGTGTTAATCACCCACAAATCCTTAATATATGGATTTAACTTTATCTCAGTGGTCTCAAATAGTTTTTTTTTACTTTTGACATCCTGCCTTGGAACCAATCTATATGGCTTTGGTCTTATCTACATTCATTTTCAACCCTGACATTCTAAAGAATATATTTAATATTTCTATAGAGGCATTCTCCTGTGCCGTCCAGAAATAGCTCTGTGTCGTCAGCACATTGTCCAAGTTTATGTTCGACATCATGTCGAGTAATCCTTTTCATGTTATTATTTTTATCATGCACCAAACGATTTCAGCAACTAGAGGAAACATACATGGTTATAGGGGATCTCCTTGTCTACAACCTTGATCACTACTACAGAATGAAGATAGATGACCATTTTGGATTACACACGAAGTGGGTATATTTGCTTTTGTAATTTAATCACATTTATTCCGAAGCCATATTTGTATGGAACATAGTGATGAATTATTGAGTAAAACTTCAGAGTCAAATGCTTTTTCAAAATCTATAAGTAATAGTACTCCAGATGTGTAAGGCTTTTTTATGTCTGAAACAAGATACCATGCACTAGTCTCGTGTTTTCACTGACACGTCTACCTAGAATATATCTAGTTTTATGTATTTGTATTAGACTATCCAATGGCTTTTTAACCAGATAAGCAATACAGGCACGGAATATTTTACACAAAGCTTTCAACTCTTTGTGACATGGCTGCATAATTAAAAAAACGTCGTCAACCGCTTGATTTCAATTATGGCAGCAACGGGTCCAGAAGCGCATTAGCCTACTTCATTTAGGGCTCTCGCCATTCTCGCCATGAAGCACGACCGCAATTTTGAATCTGCTAAAACCTTGAAAACTTTCTTTTAATTTGACTTACAGAATATTACAATATAAGGCCTGGTTTTGTTATAACCTAATATACAGATAAAACTTAATCTTGTAGACGTTAGTGATATGGGTTTTAATCAAGAGGAAACCTTGAGCAACGTGGATCTATTTCTAAGAAATGTGTACAGGTAGTTGATAAGTTTTTTCGAGGAAAGCTCAACACTAAAGGGTCGGTCGTCTGACCCATTTGTTATCAGCCTAATCTGTCACGATATGGCTGAAATATTGCCCATGTGACGTTAAAAAATACCTCACTCACACTCACTCACCTTATCTGTCAGCTGCCTTATACCAGTCAGCCATTTTGAATTCAACTTTGATATTCCCCTATATTCCAACATTCTGATGAACAACTAAGGTTTTGACAAAACAAGGACAAAATAAGCTTGAAGTATACTCTCCAAACTAAGAATAGGATATTCGAAAATAACAAATGAATACAGACATACAAAGAGGTATCGAGTGATGGTGACGAATGGATAAAATCAAGCAAAGACCTGATGAAACTTGGCAATCAACAGAACATGTTGGCGGTGTGTTGTAAGGATGCAAACAGCCCCAAAAGAAGACAAGATGTATAGAAAAAAATGAACATTTGAGATTTGACATACTTCTACACCTCACCTCACCGTCCAGTCCACCAAGGTTTGTATTGCTGTGTTTAAATTTCCACATGTGATGTAGAAACGGCCAGACAAATGCACTGCCTCTCTAGGACATGGTCGTTGGACTTCACTCTCTAGTCAGGAAGATAAATAACATCCAATCCAATCTTGAAGTTTGAATGGTGTCATAAAAACGGTGTGCAAAAAAACCCACAAAAGTGGCTGAATTTTGTTGACAGGTCGTGGTTAGCCTGATAGCTGATAGTAGATTGGGAAAAGGACATTTTGACCTTACCTAAACACATCTCAAATGCATGTTCATATTTATTAGAAATAAACTCACGTCACACATTGTTTGTGTATGGGCGATTGCTCTAGATATCACTTGCTTATTAAGTGTCTCCCTCCTTTTCATCAGAACCCATAAATACAATACATGCGACAAAATTCTCACCATATTCATAAGAAATCTTAGGGTCCATTGTTCGATTCCGACTATATTATGAATCATTATCAAATAGTGATAATATCAAGTGTTCGCGAAAAGGTGAGCGTATCCTGTCCCCACCAAACACATGCAGAGTCAAGTGAAGTGTTCACCTAAAAAAACACGGACTTAATGGTACAAGTCAATATTGGGAATTGCGTCAGACATTGCATGTTGGAACCTTGGTCAATCAACATCATGTTGTTTATCACAAAATATTCTTCATTATTTGTTCGCCCTATTCAATTTGTTTAGCAGATATAGGATGATATTGATGTTAGCTACCTATAGGTGAACTGCAATGGACAGGCTGTCAACTTATAGACCTCATCTATTGCACTACTTTATATTTAATTATTCTTTTGAATGTCTTTGCAGCAGAGACAAGGCACTGGTTGTATCAACAGGTGTTTGGTTGAAACGGAAGGTACACCTTGGGATTGCCTAAAAGTCGGGCCGGGCCAGCGGGTAATACTTAAAATGGATTGCAGAATAATAAAACGAATCGTGCATATCTAGGCAGATCTCAAATGTCCAGAAACGGATAGTTTTGCTCATTTAATTGAGTTTGAATCAAAATGTATCTTCAGCAATGTAATAAACTGATAATTATAGCTACATACCGAGAGTTCATACCGAAAGTCAGTGTCTTGACTGTGTCTTTACTTTGATGAGAAGGTTTCTCACCGACCTTAGCGTGCAGGGGTGTAATGTCCTGGGCAGGAATTCGAAATGACAGTGTTTTGACTACTCTTCTTTCATTAATTAACGTGTTCGGCATACCTAATTAACCTTTACTAATTCATGTTAAACCAACACAGGATGTTTTCTGCAAGTGGATATTCGCGAATGTCATAGGACTGACACGACACGTGATAATAACTGTCAAAGCGTTTCTAAAATTACAACACATACTTTACATCTATAGACTAATTATAATATCATATCTACCTATATAACACTTAAGTGTATCATATTGCAGTAGCAAACACGGTGCTCAAAAGTGAAGCCCTTTTCCCTCTGGTACCTATATACTACTTTATAATGTCACGGTACATCGTATTTAAAGAAAACAAGGGGCTTAAAGTGAAGCATTTTCACTGTATTTTCTTAAGAAAATCTATGTCAGAAGTGTTCGGTCCGACTTGGCCCGGGCTGTCAAAATCATCTTAAACCTCACAGATGTATCATGAAATGGATTCACATCTATAGATTAGTATTATATCCACCTATATACCACTTTATAGTGTCTCAGATCGCTGTGATTAAAGAAAACAAGGGGCTCAAAGTAAAGCCCTTTTCCCTCTACATTCTCAACATAGTCTCTGTCAGAAGTGTTTGTCTTGTGTTGGGTCCGACTTGGCCCGGGCGGTCAAATTCAACTTTAAACACACAGATATATCTTCAAATGTGTTTACATCTTTGAGTTAGTGTTATATCTACCTATATACTACTTTATAATGTCACGGTACATCGTATTTAAAGAAAACAAGGGGCTCAAAGTGAAGCATTTTCACTGTATTTTCTTAAGAAAATCTATGTCAGAAGTGTTCGGTCCGACTTGGCCCGGGCTGTCAAAATCAACTTTAAACACACAGATCTATCTTCAAATGTGTTTACATCTATAGCTTAGTGTTATACCTACCTATGTACCACTTTATAATGTCACAGTTTATCGCATTTAAAGAAAACCATGAGTTCAAAGTGAAGCCCTTTTTCCTCTACATTCTCAACATGACTAGTATTATATCTACCTATATAACACTTAATAATGTCGCACGATAACTCAAAGAAAACTGGTCTGTTAAAGTCGAGCACTTTCACTGTATATTCTCAAGAAAAGTTCACCAAATGTGTTGGAGTGAAGTATACTCTTTAAAGTGAAGCCCTTTTTTCATAGTATGTGTCTGGTCGGAAAATCACTTGCTTTTATCTAATCCGTCGTGGTTTTTTTCAAGGATCATACACACAGGGTAACACTTGGAGAAGGTAAGGTGAGACACTTTGCATTTCAGGATAAACCTCTCCCTCAGTCAGTCTGTCAGTCAGCCAGCCAGCCAGCCAGCCAGTGAGTCAGTCAGTGAGTCAGTCAGTCAGTCAGCCAGCCAGTCAGTCAGTCAGTCAGCCAGCCAGCCAGCCAGCCAGCCAGTGAGTCAGTCAGTGAGTGAGTCAGTCAGCCAGTGAGTCAGTCAGTCAGTCAGTCAGTCAGCCAGTCAGCCAGCCAGTCAGTCAGTCAGTCAGCCAGCCAGCCAGCCAGTGAGTCAGTCAGTGAGTCAGTCAGTCAGCCAGTGAGTCAGTCAGTCAGTCAGCTTTTGAGGAATTCAACAGTATGGGTTTGGTCTGACAAAGCAAGAAGCACAAATGGGGCATGTTTCGGCCAATGATTAGCGTATTCTTGCAAGTCAAAGGGTCCAACAGGAGTTATTTCTGCGACATGCTATTTCAAAACCCAAAATTCTGAGGGATATATATGAAAAGAAATATTGAAATAATACAAATATAAATTCCTTCCAGGTGAAGGCTATCACTTGAAATCAAATTAACAAAGCAGATTTTAGTCAATGACACACCTCTTGGGGTAGAAGTTCATCTCTGTCACCATGCTATGGTATTTCTGGAAAGGAAAGTTAACTTACAAAGTTGTAATATACGTGAAAGGCTTAATGTTGCTGATTAAACGCAAAGATATAAACTCTAACTGACTGCTCAGTAACATTCCTGTAATATTAGTAATATTCAAATAAGTGTACTTGTTCTAGGCGTGTGTGACGTGGATACATGTATCTAAGCGTATAGAAGAAACGTCAACAAACTTGTAATTATGTATGAAATAATAAATAAGCCATGTCCTTCATATGCAACTGATCTTATACCACCAGCTGAGTTACAGAAGGTCAGTTATAATCTCAGAAACCGCCATGATTTTGTAGTTCCATTTGCACGGACATCTACGTTTAAAAGGTCTTATATTATAGATACATTAGGCCAATGGAATAATCTATCATCAGGAATCAGGGATAGTGCGTCAATATCTTATTTTAAAGCTGTCGCATCTGAGCAGCCTACATCACCACCTATGCACTATAATTGCGGTGAGAGATCTACAAACATATTGCACACTAGATTGAGACACAATTGTAGCACACTAAATTCCAACCTGTTTCGTGTTAATTATCTGATACTATTTCCTGTAAATGCTCCTTGTGAAAATTCATTCCATTTCTTCTTCCAATGTACCTTATATGATGATATTAGGGAGACATTACTGACAGCTATCGATAATCTTGGAGGACAAAAAACTCTAAATAGTATTATTTTTTGTGATCCAAACTTAGATGTTTTCCTGAATACAAAAATATTCTTGTCTGTACACAAATTTAAGGAAACGACTAACAGATTCAGTAGCTAGCATATTATTGTTTCCAAACTGTTAATCATTAATATTGTTAAATCTATATACAACACTAACATGTATAATATTAGCATATGTATGAGATGCACACTGTCTTCACTTTCCAGCACATTGTACATATCCTTCATATGAGCACTGTATATAAATGTATATTGCGCTCTATGTTTCCACAATGTGATGCTTCAACTGTAAATTGTTAATTTTCATTATGCAATATTATGTATAACTGTATATAGGGAGAAGGTGGTAATAAGTGCTGCAGTTGTGCCCAATCCCTTTGTCTTTTTGGACAATACAATATGTTTAATAATAATAATAATAATAATAATAAGCAACCAATGTATTATGATCAGGGTCCATTGGTATCCCTTCAGCAAGTGCGAATCAGGTCCTAACACATCTGTTTTGTCATGTATCACGCGCTATACAGTCGAACCTCGCTTATCCGGACAATTGCTTTTTCTAAAATGTTGTCCGGATAAACGAGTTTCTGGATATCTGAATACCTTGTTATCTGACCAGAAGTCCTTCCCCTACCTCAATTCTACCGAGGCATATGTGAAACGAATGGCAAAAATACGATTTATGAAGGATCGACCAATTACTAATAAAATACATTGTGCTGTACAGACCTACGCAGCATGCTGTGACAGCGCACTGCATTATTGAAACGGCTGAAGAAATGCATATGTAGCCTAGTTTAGACTATGCACTTGTTTTGTGTACAGATACGACGGCTAGGTTGGGGCAACCTGACACACATGAGCATTAATAGCCATGTTTACCTGTACTTGTAGTTGACTGCCAAAAATGCTGTTGAGGCATCTGTACATCTTCTTTGTCGAATTGCATTATTAAAGTACATCAAGATGAGACATCATATACATTCATATATATTTGTTGAGCACGAAACGAAACGAAGTGTAGCCAGGACATTTCCAAGAAACTATGGGCGGCCAGGTAGCTTCAATATCTTATAAATGATATCACTGAACATAGGTCAAGGTGTATTCAGAAAACACAGATCTGAAGGGCTGTATTTCCTTCATCGAACACACTATGCGTTCATCACAGTTTGTGACGGATTACGGATACGAACGAACTAGCACTTGTTTGGCAGGAAGGTTTTGTTAAGATTTGTTATCTTGTTCTCTCTCTACCCTCTACTTCCTTAATCACAATTTAAATCCTAAATAGACTTTCGGGCCTAACACTGTGGCAAGTTTAGACCCTCTGTTTCTGTATTTACTTGAGCTCATTTCCCCTAAGGTTTACACATTTCATAAGACTAAGTCATCAGCTGTCTGACATGTTTCTTATGAACAGTTTATGAAGCTAAACAATGTCCAAGTGACTTAAGCACAAAAATACGCGAACACTTCTGACATAGATTTTCTTAAGAAAATACAGTAAAAATGCTTCACTTTGGGCACCTTGTTTTCTTTAAATACGATGTACCGTGACATAATAAAGTGTTATTTAGGTAGATATAATACTAATCTAAACATATGAATCCATTTGATGATACATCTGTGAGGTTTAAGTTGATTTTGACAGCCCGGGCCAAGTCGGACCCAACACAAGACAAACACTTTGATAGAGACTATGTTGAGAATGTAGAGGGAAAAGGGCTTTACTTTGAGCCCCTTGTTTTCTTTAAGTACAGCGATCTGAGACACTATAAAGTGGTATATAGGTAGATATAATACTAATCTAAACATATGAATCCATTTGATGATACATCTGTGAGGTTTAAGTTGATTTTGACAGCCCGGGCCAAGTCGGACCGAACACTTCTGACAGAGATTTTCTTAAGAAAATACAGTAAAAATGCTTCACTTTAAGCACCTTGTTTTCTTTAAATACGATGTACCGTGACATTATAAAGTAGTATATAGGTAGATATAACACTAATCTATAGATGTAAACACATTTGAAGATACATCTGTGTGTTTAAAGTTGATTTTGACCGCCCGGGCCAAGTCGGACCCAACACAAGCAAAACACTTCTGATAGAGACTATGTTGAGAATGTAGAGGGAAAAGGGCTTCACTTTGAGCCCATTGTTTTCTTTAAGTACAGCGTTCTGAGACACTATAAAGTGGTATATAGGCAGATATAATACTAATCTAAAGATGTGAATCCATTTGATGATACAATTGTGAGGTTAAAGTTGATTTTGACAGCCCGGGCCAAGTCGGACCGAACACTTCTGACAGAGATTTTCTAAACAAAATACAGTAAAAATGCTTCACTTTGAGCACCTTGTTTTCTTTAAGTACAGTGATCTGAGACACTATAAAGTGGTATTTAGGTAGATATTATACTAGTTCATAGATGTGAATCCATTTGATGATACATATGTGAGTTTAAAGTTGATTTTGACCGCCCGGGCCAAGTCGGACCGAAAACCTGTGTGACTGTTGAGAGTATAACTTTAACCAACGTGTCTGCTTTAAATACGACGAAAAGTGACATTATAAAGTGGTATTTACTTATAAATATAAACACTATGCTCACAGATGGAAATTTGTATCACGATAGCTAGAAGTATTTGATACGTTTCAAATCTTACTTCGTTTAACGATTGCTCTTTTACATGTTACCAAGATCAGCGACGCTTACACACTGCTCCACTTTCTGGTTTTCAAGAGATTTACTCCGAATTACTTATTTATGGTGTACTTTTTTGTTTGGAGACTGTTCATTAATGTCATGTGTGTATGTTGCATCAATTATATGTAGGTATGATCGCCGATAATGAAGTAATTAGCCAGTAACAATTTGGCCCGTCTTGGCCCGGCCCGGCCCGACTTTTAGGCAATGCCGTACACCTTCACGTCATATTATTGTTACCATCATCAAATGGTATACAATTAACAAAACTAGGTTAACAAATCAACACAACTTACTGCACAGCAATAACAATGGCAGTACACAAAAGTGGGCGAGTACAATATTCAATGACAATACATAATTTGATAGCAGTGGTCAGTATCAAATACAAAAATACAGTGGTGATAGTAAAAGTCAGTGAAAAGAATATATATTCACCCAGCGGCAACAGTGGTCAAGCTTCCGTGATGGGCTAGGCAAGGAATCGGGGATCATGAGCGATCCTCACATGAACGCTGATTCCGATGTGATGAAAATGCGTGAGAGATCTGCGTAAACCCGCACTTGTATCCTTATATACAACCTAACCAGCTATTTGAAAGTACCACATAGTGGATTACATACTTTCACCGTCCGCGGTATACCGGACCGGAAGTTTTCACACCACACTAGCATCTAAATATTGTAACTTCCTGGCGACGGATCACCACCTGCTGGCAGTGCCTGAAAGAAGACTTACGTCCTGGGGTCACAGAACATGCATCTTTACAGCAGCTTCACTTTGGAGTTCTCTCCCTGTTGACATCGTGCAGTCTCCCTCCATGGCTTATTCAAAATCAGTCCTGAAAACCCATCTCTTCAGGCGTCATTACTTACAATTCCCTTATCCTACGCGCCAGTAATGCTTACATGATTTAGATCGCCATGTGAACATGCATACTTTGGAGGATATTTAAAGAAATTGGTATTTTTTACAGATTAAAACCATATATGCAGCAAAGAGCATTATGATTATTTCTACTATGATTTTAGGCCGCTTTTAGAAAAATTCCAGCAATATCACGGCGGGGGACACCAGAAATGGGCTTCACACATTGTACCCATGTCGGGAATCGAACTCGGGTCTTCGGTGTGACGAGCGAACGCTTTAACCACTAGACTACCCGACCGCCCCCATAACGCGTGTGAACGGTATGTAACAACGTGTAGATTAAAATAAGTATATGCAGCAAAGAACATTATGAGTATTACTACTATTACAACTGCATATCACTTGTATCTTACCACTTTTATATGAAACTGATGGTATACTGTTAACCAAGACCTAGCCAATCCACCTGAAGTAAGAGTCATTCCATTGGTGACTGACATAATCCCATCCGAATGCCTCAAGCACCAGGCTTCCAAAGTGCCCCTTTTAATATGGAGTAGAACCCACCTGTCAAATGTATCGTCTCCCAAAATCCTATGAGTGAAACCTGGTCAAAATAATACCCTTCCATGTCACATATTTTCAGTGTACTGCCTGTTACATAATCCTTTCCATTCCAACACATGATGTTCGCCTTATAGTCAGCGAATCAAATCAGTTTTTCCCATTCATAACCGGCGGTGGTAAAAAAGCTTATATCATTATACACCCATTACAAAGATCATACAAATAGGACAAAATACGAAGAAACATTTGTTTTGTTTATTATTCCAACTGTTGTAATACATTTGCAAGACAATTGAAAAAACGTAAAGGGATATTTCCCTAACCACACCTGACGGTACATTAACTTATCTGGACGCTGGATAAACATTTTACTGGGGTAGAAACTCATTCTATGTTTTAACGCTTACTGAAGTGTGACCTTGTCACAATATATGTGGTTCGATATCTTCCATGCGTTTCCCCAAATGCATTAAAACAGTGAGATAGCCCCCAGTACAGTAAATGCACAGTTTGTTTCTGAGGCTGGTGCATACAAAAACATAAGTTTAAAAAACCATATAGTATGATGTTATTCTTAGCAGGATATGTTTTACTACAATAGAAGACATGACACTTATGTCGCTTTTTCCTTTGAAAAATGTTTATGAATAAGGTCAAGAAGGAAAACTGTTTTCATGTGTGTTAGTATTCCATTTAAATCATATTAGTGTCCTAGTAATATGTTTGAAAGCTATGTGCATAATAAAAGCAGGTACATGTACTTATTTCTTACAAATACAACCGCCCAGTCTACCTTCTACTGAAGCCTTTTAGGGCCATTTGTTTTTATATTCTTTTGTGAAATCTCAAGATACTTAGTTGAAATTTCAAGATACATACATGTAAGCTGAAATTACAAGATACTAACTTGAATTTTCAAAATGCTAAGTTGAAATTTCAATATATTAACTTATTATCTTGAAATTTCAACTTAGTATGTATCTTGAAACTTGAACATGACATTTTGAAATTTCCAGAACAAAATGGCCCAAAAAAGCTTCCGTATAAAAGGCTTCCGTAACCTTCAGAGAGCCTTTGCTTCAAATCCCACATTTACCATATTCACGTCAACAGTATTGTATACTTATACATACAATTGTTTAATTTGAAACTTGAGGTTGTGACATAGAATTTAATGGGTATTGACCTCTTTAACAACTATAACACCCCTAATAGGCATCAAAATGAATTTCATAAGCACACATTGATTTTAAAATTGGTGACTCAAATACACTTATTCTACATTCCGTTTGTGCAACGACTTCACTGGATTTCACTTTGAAGTGCTGATTAAAGAAACATCCTTGATATTCCGATCCTCATCGAAAGAACAAATTTCATTTGCATGATGTCTGCAAATACATTCTTGATGCTGACAGAACTTTACAATACAGGTTTGAAATGAAATACTTCACCAGAGCCGCGGCTTATCTTTTCTTTAAGAAAGTTCTGAATGTGGAGGAATGGAACACATATCACTGACGTTCTGAAGTCATGGGAACAAACACATCCCTGGACATATAACATGTAACTATGAGATTAGATAAGTCTCAAACAAAGGTGGAGGAGTTAAAAGCTAAAAAACTGTTCCAATATAACAAACAAAAACCTTTCCCTAATCCGAAAAATGTCTGCAAAAAGCAGAGTCCATTGTTCTATTCCGACTATGATAATAAATCACCCTTTCCATATCCAATAGAAATCTCAGCATAAAGCAGAGTCGATTGTACGATTCCGACTACATCATGAGTATGTGTTATAAATCACTATCACTATCAGATAGGAATGATACCAGGTGTTCACGAAAAGGTGAGAATACACATTAAATGTTAACACACTAAACGCTGCATTACGGTACACTGTGCGCAGGTACACAACTAGGCCATATCAGCGAAACACCTCCTCGTGTTATCTTGAGAAGTTGATAATATCAACAGGATAAATCAAGAGGATATAGGCCGATTTCGTTTTTCGTTTCGTTTTTCAGTTAACTTGATCTGGAATGTTAAGTTACGAAATCTTACGTAGACCACACATTAAGTAGACCACACATGACGTAGATCACACATGACGTAGATCACACATGACGTAGACCACACATGACGTTAGACCGTACATCACGTAGACCACACATTACGTAGATCACACATGACGTAGACCACACATTAGGTAGACCACACATGACGTAGATCACACTTCACGTCGACCATGGCATGTGATTAAAAAAATAACGTTTACACATCCAACATGTATCGCTGACACAACCAATATTTAATGTTTGCACACCCAATACGAAGGTTGATATACCACATTATTTATTTATCTGCTGTTCCTTCAAATGCTTGGAACGAGCTGAAATTTCCTTTTCGGAAAAAATGATTTCATTCTCAATATCGGTCATGAGAACTTATAGTCGCAGGATGGTGTATCCATGGTGTATCTAGTTATCTCTCCATGGTGTATCTAGCTATCTCTCCATGGTGTATCTATCTATCTGGCTGCCCTGCCGTTGTTGATGTTGTTGATCTCCCGGGACAGCTGGCACATCGTGCATTGGTAACAGCAGACCACCATGCAGCAGTCGTCGCAGATGGAGCCCTGGAACAGTGTGTGGAAACATCTAACACCAGGCGTCTCAAACATCCAACACCGGGTGTCTCAAACAGCACACATCGGGTGTCTCAAACATCAAACACCGCGTGTCTCAGATATCACACACCGGAAGTTTCAAACGGCAAACAGCAAGCGTCTCAAACATCACACCCGGTGTCTCAAACATCACTTCCGGTGCTCAGACACCAAACACCAGGTTTCTCAAACACCAAACACCGGCTGTCTCAAACACCAAACATCGGCTGTCTCAAACATTACACCCGATGTCTCAGAACCAAACACCGGGTGTCTCAAACATCAAACATTGGGTGTCTCAAACATCTACCCGGGTTCTCGAACATCAAACACCGGGTGCCCCAAAGTTCAAACCCCGCGTGTCTCAAACAGCAAACACCGGGTGTCTCAAATATCACACTGGGCGTCTCAAACATCAAACAACGTGTGTCTCAAGCATCAAACACCGGGTGTCTTAAACATCAAACACCGCGTGTCTCAAATATCAAACACAGGTTTCTCAAAGATCAAACACCGGGAGTCTCAAACATCACATACCGGGTTCTCGAACATCAAACACCAGATGCCTCAAACATCAAACACTCAAGATGTGTAATAGAATGTCCCTTGTAACCTATGAACCCGGACAGCAACTCATGCGCATGGACACGCACGCACATACACACTAACGCACATATACACATACACACGCACGCACATACACACTAACGCACATATATACATACAAACGCACGCACATACACACTAACGCACACATTTACACACGCACGCACATACACAGTAACGCACATATACACGTACACACGCACGTACACACGCACGTACATACACACTAACGCACATACACACATACAAACGCACGCACATACACACTAACGCACATATACACATACACACTAACGCACATACACACATGCACGCACATACACACTAACGCACATGTACACATACAAACGCACGCACATACACACTAACGCACATACACACATGCACGCACATACACACTAACGCACATACACACAAACGCACATATACACATACACGCACGTACATACACACTTAGGCACATATACACATACACACGCACGCACATACACACTAACGCACAAATACACATACACACGCACGCACATACACATTTACGCACATATACACATACACACGCACGCACATATACACATACACACGCACGCACATACACAGGCACGCACAGACACACTTACGCGCATATACACATTCACACGCACGCACATACACACTAACGCACATATACATATACACACGCACGCACATACACACTAACGCACATATACACACACAGACCCACGCACATACACACACCTAACACATATCACCTTACGCTCACGCGCACTCACACATTGATGTACACCCACACACATACCCCCTCGCGCACATACATACATACGCACAAATACACTCACGTGTTTACCACTTCACGCACATACAAACCCATTCACATACACAATAACGCGCAACCACACCCCATGCATACCCACTCATGCGCATAACCAACGCAAGCACATACCAACTAAATGTATATGTCAATTCACGAACATACACACTCACGCACATACAAACCCATGCACATACACCGCACGCGCATACCAACTCACGCACATGTCCATTCACGAGCATACCACCTCAGGAACATGCTCACATACACATATCAACTTGCATACATAGCAACTGTCGCACGTACACACTCACGCACCTACCCCACGCCCACATACAAACTCACGCACATACCAACACACGTACATTCCACCTCACGCACCTACACACATACACATGCAGACAACCACACACAGGTACCCCATCCCTATCCGATGGCCTGACCTGGATGTTGTGCTTTCCTCTGATGTGGGCGCGGAGTGATATGAGCCAGCCCGGCACACAGCAGGGGAGACAACACGTTTCCCCAGCCTTCGACGCCAGGTGGCACCCGTAACACTCTTGACAGAACATCACACACAGACCTGGGGGTGAAATAAAATACAAATGCATTCATTGGTCAGCAAGTGTTGCAACAACCATAACATGTATTTTCAAATAGATTGTGGGAATTACTTCTAAATATAAGGACCCAAACAAACATCGAGTGAAACAGTGGATGATAAGTAAATTAAACTACTCACTTTAATCTCGTGCGCGTACCCAATATGGACTCGTGTTGAAACAACATTTGGGCTCTTGTTGAGACAACATATGGGCTCTTGTTGAAACCACATATAAGCTCTTGTTGAAACAACATATGGGCTCTTGTTGAATCAACATATGGGCTCTTGTTGAGACAACATATGGGCTCTTGTTGAAACAACATATGGGATCTTGTTGAAACCACATATAAGCTCTTGTTGAGACAACATATGGGCTCTTGTTGAGACAACATATGGGCTCTTGTTGAGACAACATATCGGCTCTTGTTGAAACCACTTATAAGCTCTTGTTGAGACAACATATGGGCTCTTGTTGAGACAACATATCGGCTCTTCTTGAAACCACATATGGGCTCTTGTTGAGACAACATATCGGCCCTTGTTGAGACAACATATGGGCTCTTGTTGAGACCACATATGGGCTCTTGTTGAAACCACATATGGGCTCTTGTTGAATCAACATATGGGCTCTTGTTGAATCAACATATGGGCTCTTGTTCAGACAACATATGGGCTCTTGTTCAGACAACATATGGGCTCTTGTTGAGAAAACATATGGGCTCTTGTTGAGACAACATATGGGCTCTTGTTCAAACCACATATGGGCTCTTGTTGAGACAACATATGGGCTCTTGTTGAGACAACATACGGGCTCTTGTTGAGAAAACATATGGGCTCTTGTTGAAACAACATATGGGCTCTTGTTGAGACAAGATATGGGCTCTTGTTGAGACAACATACGGGCTCTTGTTGAAACCCCTATGGGCTCTTGTTCAAACCACATATGGGCTCTTGTTGAACCACATATGTGCTCTTGTTGAATCAACATATGGACTCTTGTTGAGACAACATACGGGCTCGTGTTGAGACAACATATGGGCTCTTGTTGAATCAACATATGGGCTCTTGTTGAGACAACATATGGGGTCTTGTTGAGACAACATATGGGCTAGCGTTTCAAACAAGGCGCTTTCTTGACTTTATTTGGCACGTTTAGGTGCTTCCGTGTTTCGAGTTATGCAGAAAAGTGGCAAACTTTGAATACCAGCACTTTCACCGACAGGCAGTGCATATCCCATTTGCATTTGCTGAATTTGGATACTGTTACGAGCCATTTGTATACAGAATCACGTGGTACTCACATCCCATAACGTCTTCAAAGCACCCACACAGCCCCGTGCTCCATCCCCGGGGGGGAACGTACACTGGCCCGCCCCCTCCTAGCCCCGCCACCACCACCGTGGTGTTGTGCGACTGCATCGTCTGCATGGGCATAGGCTGGAAGAATACACGTGTTCTCATATGTAATACATTCACAGCAATACCTAGTGCGAAATAAACAAGTGATGAATACGTTGTACTACATATTTACACAATACACATACGTAGTACGACACATTTACACAATAAACATACATAAAACTATACATTTACACAATACACATACGTAGTGCGACACATTTACACAATAAACATACATAAAACTACACATGTACACAATACACATACGTAGTACGACACATTTACACAATAAACATACATAAAACTACATTTACACAATATAAAACCCGTAAACATCCAGGTAGAGGATAGGTCTTCAGCAACCCCTGCCGCACTCAGCAATATTCCAGCTATATGACGACGGTCTGTAAATTATCGAGTCTGGACCAGACAATCAAGTGATTGATACCATGAGCTTCGATCTACGCAACTGGGACACGATGACACGCATCAACCAAGTCAGCGAGCCTGACCACCCAATCCCGTTAGTCGCCTCTTACGACAAGCATGTCGCCTTTTACGGTAAAATGGTAATGATATTCGGGTGTTTTGACTTCGCTGATCGCTTGTCATCTTTCCCGGACGTCGCCCTCATATCAGTCAGCTGACAAGACTCGATGATGTGAAAGCCGGTCACATCTGGACGAGTGCTGACCACGTTAAACACACTTCACTCACTCACTCGAGGACCTATGGTGGACGCACCTGTTGCATGACGGGCTGCTGGTAAGGGGGGTTGTAGTTATCGGGTTGGTATGGGACTACCCCTGGTCCCTGGTACTCCTGGGGGGTCGGGGCCTGAGGGTTGACGGTGCCCGAGTGTGGCGCGTAGGGTGGTGGGCCCGGTTTAGGCGCTCTGTCAATGGTGGGTGGGGCAGGCTCAGTCATTCTGCAGAAGGAAAGAACATGACTGAGTCACTAGACTGGAACAGTCTCCATTTTATCATATTATAATATCAAATAACCTTAAACAAATAAGTTCAACAAAAGTTAACGTTGAGAACACTAGGGACGAAAGAATCAAACTTGTTTATATCATTTTCAAATTCATGCTGGAAACAGAGACTGCTCCAGGTTTACCTTGATGACTGACAGAAATCAGATTATTAATTTTGTGGTGAAATATATATATTTCTCATACAAAGCCACGAACAAAGAATATACTGTGAACACGGATACTCCTAAGAGGTGAAAGGAAGTCAATTCTTTATTTACTTAATAGTTGTACTTTCCGGATTGATATTTGAATTTTACTTGCCAATGACTTCTTTATAATTTTCTAAACTTTCTGTAAATTGTTTATTTTTAAAGCTATAAAGAGACACATGTCTGCAAATGTGATTTGAGTGCGTTAGCTGGATATACATGCAAGGCAAATACAGAATTTGCCAATGACGTAAAAGTAATACTTGGCGAAAGGGACACTGCGTCAAACTGAGTTTCACGTTTGTATGCTGGTAGTACGAATACACACAAGAAATTGAAATTGATACAAAGTTAATCATTTCTTGTATTAGATGCCGAGATAAATGCCCACGTTGTCTTTCCGAGCTCCGCGGATGGTAATCAACAGGTCAGTATATTTGATAACATTAAACTGGACATGAACCTGAAGTTCAAAGGGAGAATAAAAAACCATGAAGGATGTAACGACTGGTAATATTTCAAACTGTATCGAAGATCTGTATCATTTCCCCTTCATCTGTCCATCTTTAGGAGACATGTGTAATTCGACCTTCAACCCAACCGTTTACTCGCCTGATGGCAACCACAAATTATCAAGATTAAAAATCTGTCAAGGTACATTTCAGGCATGGTACGATATGTACTTAAATGACACATGCGAATCTTGTTGTAAAATGATCCTGGGCACTATAGTATGCACTTTATGTATTTGAGTCTATGGCATAGAAAATATACATTTGAATTTAAATTTATTGAATGATTGGCATGGTTAGCGCATGGTTGGCATGGTTAGCGCACGGTTGGCATGGTTAGCGCATGGTTGGCATAATTAGCGTATGGTTAGCGCACGGTTGGCATGGTTAGCGCATGGTTGGCATTGTTAGCGCATGGTTGGCATGGTTAGCCCATGGTTGGCATGGTTAGCCCATGGTTGGCATGGTTAGCGCACGGTTGGCATGGTTAGCGCTCGGTTGGAATGGTTAGCGCATGGTTGGCATGGTTAGCCCATGGTTGGCATGGTTCGCGCATGGTTGGCATGGTTAGCGCATGGTTGGCATGGTTAGCCCATGGTTGGCATGGTTAGTGCATGGTTAGCATGGTTAGCGCACGGTTGGCATGGTAAGCATGGTTGGCATGGTTAGCGCATGGTTGGCATGGTTAGCATGGTTGGCATGGTTAGCGCACGGTTGGCATGGTTATCCCATGGTTAGCATGGTTAGCCCATGGTTGGCATGGTTAGCGCACGGTTGGCATGGTTGGCATGGTTAGCGCATGGTTGGCATGGTTGGCTCGTGGTTGGCATGGTTAGCGCATGGCTGGCATGGTTAGCGCATGGTTGGCATGGTTAGCCCATGGTTGGGATGGTTAGCGCATGGTTAGCATGGTTATGGCACTGTTGGGATGGTTAGCGCATGGTTAGCACGGTTGGCATGGTTAGCGCACGGTTGACATGGTAAGCGCATGGTTGGTATAGTTAGCGAACGGTTGACATGGTTAGCGCATGGTTGGCATGGTTAGCCCATGGTTGGCATGGTTAGCGCAGCGCATGGTTGGCATGGTTAGCGCGTGGTTGGCATGGTTAGCATGGTTAGCGCACGGTTGGCATGGTTAGCGCACGGTTGGCATGGTTAGCGCATGGTTGGCATGGTAAGCGCACGGTTGGCATGGTTAGCGCATGGTTGGCATGGTTAGCATGGTTAGCGCACGGTTGGCATGGTTAGCGCACGGTTGGCATGGTTAGCGCATGGTTGGCATGGTTAGCGCACGGTTGGCATGGTTAGCGAATGGTTGGCATGGTAAGCCCATGGTTGGCATGGTTAGCGCATGGTTGGCATGGTTAGCGCGTGGTTGGCATGGTTAGCGCATGGTTGGCATGGTTAGCATGGTTAGCGCATGGTTAGCATGGTTAGCGAACGGTTGGCATGGTAAGCGCACGGTTGGCATGGTTTGCGAATGGTTAGCATGGTTGGCATGGTTAGCGCACGGTTGGCATGGTTAGCGCATGGTTGGCATGGTTAGTGCACGGTTGGCATGGTTAGCGCATGGTTGGCATGGTTAGCCCATGGTTGGCATGGTTAACGCATGGTTGGCATGGTTAGCTCGTGGTTGGTATGGCTAGCGCATGGTTAGCATGGTTAGTGCACGGTTGGCATGGTAAGCGCACGGTTGGCATGGTTAGCGCATGGTTAGCATGGTTAGCGCACGGTTGGCATGGTTAGCGCACTGTTGGCATGGTTTGCGCATGGTTGGCATGGTTAGCGCACGGTTGGCATGGTTAGCGAATGGTTGGCATAGTCAGCCCATGGTTGGCATGGTTAGCGCATGGTTGGCATGGTTAGCGCGTGGTTGGCATGGTTAGCGGATGGTTGGCATGGTTAGCATGGTTAGCATGGTTAGCGCACGGTTGGCATGGTTCGCGCATGGTTGGCATGGTTTGCGAATGGTTAGCATGGTTGGCATGGTTAGCGCACGGTTGGCATGGTTAGCGAATGGTTGGCATGGTTAGCGCGTGGTTGGCATGGTTAGCGCACGGTTGGCATGGTTAGCGCATAGTTGGCATGGTTAGCGCACGGTTGGCATGGTTAGCGCATGGTTAGCATGGTTAGCGCACGGTTGGCATGGTAAGCGCACGGTTGGCATGGTTTGCGAATGGTTAGCATGGTTGGCATGGTTAGCGCACGGTTGGCATGGTTAGCGCATGGTTGGCATGGTTAGTGCACGGTTGGCATGGTTAGCGCATGGTTGGCATGGTTAGCCCATGGTAGGCATGGTTTACGCATGGTTGGCATGGTTAGCTCGTGGTTGGTATGGCTAGCGCATGGTTAGCATGGTTAGTGCACGGTTGGCATGGTTAGCGAATGGTTAGCATGGTTGGCATGGTTAGCGCACGGTTGGCATGGTTAGCGCATGGTTGGCATGGTTAGCGCACGGTTGGCAATGTTCGCGCATGGTTGGCATGGTTAGCCCATGGTTGGCATGGTTAGCGCATGGTTGGCATGGTTAGGGCGTGGTTTGTATGGTTAGCGCATGGTTAGCATGGTAAGCCCGTGGTTTGCATGGTAAGCGCACGGTGGGCATGGTTTGCGCATGGTTGGCATGGTTAGCGCGTGGTTGGCATGGTTAGCGCGTGGTTGGCATGGTTAGCGCATGGTTAGCATGGTTAGCGCACGGTTGGCATGGTTGGCATGGTAAGCGCACGGTTGGCATGGTTAGCCCATGGTTGGCATGGTTAGCGCATGGTTGGCATGGTTAGGGCGTGGTTGGCATGGTAAGCGCACGGTTGGCATGGTTAGCGCGTGGTTGGCGTGGTTAGCGCACGGTTGGCATGGTTAGCGCATGGTTGGCATGGTTAGCGCGTGGTTGGCATGGTTAGCGCACGGTTGGCATGGTTAGCGCATAGTTGGCATGGTTAGCGCACGGTTGGCATGGTTAGCGCATGGTTGGCATGGTTAGCGCATAGGTGGCATGGTTAGCATGGTTAGCGCGTGGTTGGCATGGTTAGCGCACGGTTGGCATGGTTAGTGCACGGTTGGCATGGTTAGCGCACGGTTGGCATGGTTAGCGCACGGTTGGCATGGTTAGCGCATGGTTGGCATGGTTAGCGCATGGTTGGCATGGTTAGCGCATGGTTGGCATGGTAATCGCATGGTTGGCATGGTTAGCGCATGGTTGCCATGGTTAGCGGATGGTTGGCATGGTAAGCGCGTGGTTGGCATGGTTAGCCCATGGTTGGCATGGTTAGCGCATAGTTGGCATGGTTAGCCCATGGTTGTTGGCATGATTAGCACACGGCTGGCATGGTAAGCCCATGACTGGCATGGTTACCGGCGTTTCTTGCCGCCATCTTACACAATCAGTTCACTCAGGACACAGACAAATAACCACCCATCATTCCTCTTATACGTCGATCGTAGGCCATTCTCTAAATTGTCTCTAAATACGTGACCTTTGTGAAATGAAGTACAGAATTGAGGGGCATCCAACATATTTACAATCAAACAGACGTAGGTGACTTTGTGTAAACAAGTAAAGGTTATACTTCAATGACGGACCAGATCCAGTCTACCCCCACCCATCAACACCACTACCCCAATCCCACCCCTCCCCATCCCACCCCACCCACCTTCTGTGTACACAGCCTGAAAGGCATGCAAGTAGTCTGTCTAACCGACCACTTAAACTTCCTAACGTACATCTATTCAGTGTGATTGAATAGTGGCGCGCACCTAGCCCTGGATTCGTTGACTTTACATGCAGCTTTGAATAGACTTCTGTTTTTTTTATGTTCCTAGAAACAGGAGTCAATAAGTTCTTCACAGGAGTTCTAGGAATTCATACACCGCCCGTATGGGCTTGTTGTTAAATATTCTACCCTGACCTGAGCTAAAGATAAAGTGATTATTCCTTATAATGTGTTGTAACGTGTAAGGTTGATTTAACATAAGTGATAGGCTGTATTAACCATGCTTAGAAATATTCCAGACAGACAGACAGACAGACAGACAGACAGATCGATTGTTTACTCTCACCTCAATAAAAATACTTTGAGTATACAGTAAAAATGTCAATAAAATTTGAGCCATTCCTAAATGGAATTATGAGAGACGAGTTATATATGAAATATGTGTTATATTAATGTATAATAAACTAATATATATATATATATATATATATATATATATATATATATATATGCAGACGCTG